TTCAAAATAAAAGAAAGATGTTTAAACTAATTAATTTTGTAGATAATCTATCTATCCTATTTAAGAGCTGCGCTCTTGTCGGTGGAGCTCTTGCCACTCACTACGATTTTCAGCGAGTCTCGTCACCTCTTGATACGACATGACACCAAGTCCTTCCTTGATCTGCCTGATGTAACTGTCACGGTCTCCCTCTTCCCCTCTTTCCTTCTATCGTACCTTCCATTATAATGTTCATAAGTTCGTCGTGTCGTATCAAGTGTCGCAACATTTTTCCCCTTCTGTCCTCAATAGTTCTTGTTAATAGTCGTAGATAATAATCTATAGATTTTGGCGTATATAATTATAGATAAAAATAAAACATTATTATATCGATTAACTATCGGGGGGAAAACGATTGTTAACAATGGAGTTTGACAGCCCCATTGCTAGCAATATGCCCTACATACAGTCGATTTGTAGGGCATATTGTTTTTTTTTTGTTTTGTGCTTTTTTATTTTCATTCTTTTATTGTGTATTATGTGTATGTTTTTGTTTTATATTTTTTTTTATTGTAATTTGTGTGCTGTAAGTAGTGTAAATAAATTATCTATCTATCTATTTACTTTTATTTCATATCAAATGTTTTGTTATTATTAGCCTTACGTTTGTGGTTTTAGTACAGTATTCTGCAACTTTCTTCGGCATTTTTTCTTTTGTGTTCCGCTTTATTCTCTTAGTAGCTTCTTATAATATATTAGAGTGGACACACCGTTTTGTTTCTGTGTGGACTGCGTCAAAATGGCTTCAAGTGTGACGAAATTAATATGGGCCAACATGGGAGTAAAACGTTAATTGCAAAAGAATAATTAAAAAAATCTATTCAGAATTAACGAAACTATTTCAAAACTATAAGTAGTTTTATTTGTATACATGTGGGCGTGTGTGTGTATGTGTGTGTGTATGTAAATAAGACTGGTCAAGTGGAAATTGAACACTCTCATTGAGGGATCAGTATTTTTTATTTATTTATCGACAAAGTGTTTAAGGAATAACAACGCATGAGGGTATCATGGGCGAAACAGTATACTCTGTTATGTCCACGGTATTGCTCATGTCTATAGGCGACGGTTACCACTTTCCATCAAGTTCACTTGATGGAAAGTGGTAACCGTTTGTTTGCCATTCTAAGTTGTATAAAAATTATCTAGCTTATAAACAAAGCAATCTTTAATAGGGGGACAATGTCGCATCATACTTCTAAGAATTCTTTTCCACCATTTTGGTACGGAACCCTAAAATAACGTCGAACTGACAACCTCCTTTTGAAGCCGCATATTTTGTTAGTAACCATGTAATCCACCGTACCACTACTGGCGACTTCGAGATGAACACATGTTTGTTTAAAATAAATCATGCGTTAAATACGAACAGGCGGACTTACACAACTGTCCGTTTATTCTGTGGACTTAATATATTTGTTTTAACTTTCTATTTATATTGCTTGTTTAATAAGCTTGGCTAATATGGGCACCGATCCAGTATCTATATATTGGGTTCCTCTGGACATTGATGACGGAAAAAGGTCATCACCCATTTCGATATCGCCAATATCGGTCGCATATATATTTTATCAGAGGGAGACTTTGTAACAAAAGTCGATTGCTTGAGTACCTCTGTCCCATTCGTGTTTCTACCGTGAAGCAGTTGTGTTTGCATGGCTGTGTTTCGGTTTGAAGGGTGGGAAGGAATGGCAACGCATGGGGTGTATCATGGGCGAAACAGTATACTCTGTTATGTCCATGCTACTGCTCATGTCTATAGGCGACGGTTACCACTTTCCATCAGGTGGGCCGTCAGTTTGTTTGCCATTCTAAGTTGTATAAAAAAAATGTTATATGTTTGGCATCCAATATTATTTTTTAGATTTATACTTTGGATTTATATTTTGGATGGATACTTTTAACATATTCGTTAATGGACCAATATATAGATATTGCTATATATTACCCATTCCTATTTTGTTTGATAGATGAAAATGGTATGGTAACCCCGCCCGCGCTAACGGGATACGCTGGCGGAGCACCAGTGAAGGGTGATAGATGAGAATGAAAACAGGCCAGTTAGCCCATCATGATGAATTCATCAGGAATTAACCATGATAGTTTCCAGGGGGAATCGCGAGAAGGTCGACCTGGTTGGGTATATTGCTAGCAATGGGATTCTTAATCTCCATTACTAACAATCCCTTTCCCCCCCTACCCACCCTTATTATTTAGATTAGATGATTTCGTACGTGCTTGACGTATTAGTTACTGATAAATATTTGTCTCGAATTATTTGATTGCCTAAGATTAGATAAAAAATGTTATAGACTAGCTATGTCCCGCGGCTTCACTCGTGGTCGTATTATGATATCTAATCGTCTATAAATAATAAGTATAAATAATTTTCTATACCAATTATATGGTCAGTAAATTGGTTTTCAGATACTTTTGCAATCGGAGGGTCTACCATGAAATATTTTTCATGAATTCGGGGTCGAAAGAAATACGAATTTGATGTTAGAATTACATAATAAGAAGAAGCAAGTAAGGGAACTAAATGATCGAGGGTTATGCAGTAACGTTCCTCTAAAAACATAACCAAAGCTTTTCTTTTTGTATACAATTTAGAATGGCAAACAAGCTGACGGCCCACCTGATGGAAAAAAAAAAGATATAATTAAATTATCTCTGAAAAGGTAGCAAAAGGTATCGATATACCTGAGAGTAGACAGATAGATAACATAATCAACACTCATATCACTGAATATGACATTTCTACTAGTTTTAACTCACGACTCCGTTCGCGTGATTGGAATATTAATAATCGGAATCAAAAAACAACCTATGTCCTTCTACATTCCAAATAGCAGGTATATGTATGCCAATTTTAAGAACAGTCACGACTCTTATTTTGTACCAGCTGTTGCCCGCGACTTTGTTGTGCGTTTCCGTTGTTTTTCGTAAAATAAGTAGCCTATGTCCTTCCTCACGGTTCAGTGGTTTTGTTGTAACAAACACATTTCCCTTCACTGCTCTGCTCCTATTAATCGTAGCGTGATGAAAATTATACTATAACCTGCCCAGGAGAATGAAGAATAATTGTACCAAGTTTCGTTAAAATCCGTCGAGTAGTTTTTATTTCTATAACGAACGAATATTTTTGGCATCAGTATCGATCACTAATCACCCCATGATAGTTATTTTGGAAATATATTTCATGTACAGAATTGGCCTCTCTACAGATTTATTGAAGGTAAAATTAAAAATGTCGTGTGTTCTCCGCTTAAAAAACTACATTTGCTTAAAACTAATTCCACTTGAAAACGCAAAAATAATTAGAAATTATTTTGTTCATACTCCCGCCAAAACAGCTCGAGCATATATAGTCTATATTATTGACCTATTTGTCTATCTTGCTCTAACATATAGTTTATTATATTTTCTTTCTTTCATATTGTCAACCTATACGCTTTATGATCTAAGTATGGTTACATGTAATAAGATACATTAAACTGAGTGTAGGGCAATAAATTTAAGACCTTGCTCAGTGCGGGGTCTTTCAGTGCAAGCAAAACTAATTTCCGTAGCACTTAGCAGTGGAGGGAATATAAATACATTATATATGATATATATCTAATTATATATTCATAGTTACTTTATGCGGTGTCGGAGAAAAATACTTCTTTCATTCCGGGATATCGTAAAAGGCAATTGAGGAAATAAGGAACAAAGTGTAGTTAGTGGCTTTTATTTCTTTTTTTTTTTATTATTTTAGTAGGTATACACTAGTGCAAGAAAATATAAAAGAGAAACATATAAAAATCATTTGTTTAGCGTAGTTTTTGTTTTTATTTTTTATATATTTTTTTTTATTTATATGAATGGCAATGGAATGGAAACCTGCTCTAATGGTGTTCGCTGGCGTGGTACCAGTGGGGGATGATAGGTGAAGATAAAAAGGCAGATCAGTTAGCCCATCGTGATGAATACACCTGGAATTTTGTACGATGGTTTCCAGGAGAGACTATGGAGAGGTTAACCTGACCCTACATTGCTAATAATATAACAGATAGTCTGTTATTTTTAATAGATGATAATGGAATGGTAACCCCGCCTGTGCTAACGGTATACACTGGCGGGGCACCATTGAGAATGAAAATTAGTGAAAATGAAAGAGCAGGTCAGTTGGCCCATCGTGATGGATACATCTGGAATTCAGCACGATGGTTTCCAGGCGGGACCACGTGGAGGTCGACTTGTTAGGGTATATTGTTAGCAATAGGACAGGTAGTGTGCATTACTAACAATCCCTCCCCCCCATCGACTGTTTAGCGTAGTAATAATAATAGATTATATTATTTTCATAAGAAAGATTTATGTGTTGGTATATTTAAAATTATTTTCCGGAGGGGAAAAGAGGGTTTAAAAATGCGCATATGTACTCTCAAACATGTCTTGTTTTTGCGCTGTAGCTGAAAGCTTAGCTTGCGTTCTGGGATGGACCTACTGTCCATTCTGGGGTTTTTTTTTCTGACGGATGAAAGTGGTATGGTAACCCCGCCTGCGCTAATGGGATACGCTGGCGAGGCACCAGTTAAGGGTGATAGATGAGAATAAAAACAGGCCAGTTAGCCCATCATGATGAATTCATCAGGAATTAACCATGATAGTTTCCAGGGGGAACCACGAGGAGGTCGACCTTGTTGGGTATATTGCTAGCAATGGGATTCTCAGTCTCCATTACTAACAATCCCTTTCCCCCCTGGATTAGATGTTACCTGGTATACCGCAATTTTTTTATGTTTTGCTATTCGATCTTGAGAATAATCTTAATAATTAGAAGACATGGGACTTTTATACTTAGACATAAATAGATGTTAGAAACGATTTAGTACTAAATTGTCTAAATAAACATGTATTGAACACCTGTCTATCGGAAGTTTAACTTTTTTGTGATCAAACAGTTTTTTTCTTACCGTAAATATAATAGTTTAACCTCACACTTATGAAAGTAAGAAATTATGCACACTCATTGAAATCTCTCCAAGCACAAAACAAACATTTCACAGTATGATATTGGCGGCACTGTTTTTTTTTTTTTTAAGTTGGTAAATAATTAAAGATAAATATTCACTATTCGATCGTGCGTTTTATTGCTGTCGAGTTAGGCGCTTTTTCTACTGGCACCTCACCGGTAAGTCGACGCGGGCGCACAAGGCCGATGCGCGTGCGCAGATGACGGAGGCTGTCGTTATCACGAGACGATTGTGACGGTGATGCGACCGCACGACGGTAATGGTGGAGACATTACTGAAGTTGTTTTTCCAATTACAATCGATGTTTTCCTTGTAATAGAAAAAGAGGTGCTTTCTGTCATGCAGTGTTCGTTAATTTTAAACCGATTTTGATTATTCTTTTTTTATATGGCAGGGTTCGCCGTGACGTGTTACGATAGATAGATAGATAAATACGTTGAGTTATCTATGACGAAGGTAAATTAAAAAAAAAAGTACAACTAAACAAATGAACGGTCCCGTGTGATCCCAGTATAGAATAGGCTACCCCTTCCTTTTCCGTGGCTGTCGTAAATGGTGACTAAGGGAGGGCGAGAGATGGGCAGCAGCGTCCTCTTAAAACATTTTTTATTTCTTTTTACAACTTAGAATAGCAAACAAGCTGACGGCCCACCTGATGGAAAGTGGTAACCGTCGTCTATAGTCATGAGCAGTACCATGGACATAACAGAGTATACTGTTTCGCCCATGATATCCCCCCATGCGTTGTCATTCCTAAGGACTCAGATGTAATTCCTCTGTACCCTGTAAATTTACGCCATATTCCACCCTTCAAACCGAAATACAGCCATGCAAACATAACTGATCCATGGTAGAAACATGAATGAAACCTGAATAAATAAATAATCATTTATTTAGGTATTGCAATATATATTCATTATCTTGCATATCATTATAACAAATTGGTTTTGCCTGTTTGCCTTTTATTACTAAGTAACTGCTAAATAATCTGTCACTGTGGTTCCGATCGATTGGTAAGGCCTTGTAGCAGCACTATAAAATAGCTATTGAGGTAGGCATTTACTTGCATGGCTGTCTCAAGTTCAAGGTGACATGACAATGAAATTATGGTGTAGGAAGACATACCACTTATGGTAACATACGAGAGTTACTATGCATGTCACAGTGTATTTTGTGACAGCCGTAGTACAATATCTGTATATAAGTTTTCTATTTTAAGAAATAAGAGAAAGAGAAGCAAAAAAAATTTTTTTATTTATTTTTTTGTGTTCTAATATCGCGTAAAATCGACTTATTGTACGAAATTCGAAATGGTTTTTACTTGTAATCTATACTTATAATAAATCTGTAGAGAGGCCAATTCTGTACATGAAATATATTTCCAAAATAACTATCAGGGGGTGATTAGTGATCGATACTGATTCCAAAAATGCAATCAGTAAAATTTTTGTCTATCTTTCTGTATGTTCGTTATAGAAACAAAAACTACTCGACGGATTTTAACGAAACTTGGTACAATTATTCTTCGTACTCCTGGGCAGGTTATAGTATACTTTTCATCATGCTACGATCAATAGGAGCAGAACAGTGAAGGGAAATGTTGAGAAAACGGGAGAAGTTACTCCATTTTTTAAACGGTTTTATTTAGCTCGACCCGTACGGTATTTATTTATTTGGGTCAAAATTAAAAATTGGAATTTAAGCACCTTCCCGTTGTCAGATTGATCTGAAATTTGGTACACACATTTCATTTAGATGACAATACAATATAATAAAATCAATAACATTATTTTAGGAAATATGTAAATATATGACGATGAGGTATTTGGTGGGTATGCCAGTAGATAAATTAAAGTCTGACTTACTGTTGTAAAATGTTTAAATACGTTCACACAATGTTCACAACTCACATAAACACATAAACACAGAAGGAGAAAGATTATACAAGCACAGATATATACATTACAAGATCTAGGACACAAACAAAGATAATAATTAGCGAGCATATATATATTAAATAAGCGAAAGCGACATTCAAATATTAAAACAACTGTCCAGCAAAGCGGTAGTTTTCGACTGCACGTTTTCATTACCTCTATACGATTTTAGACCAGCCGGCACGATTTACCGTGTGTAAGATATATAAATAAATATATGTGAATAAATATTTGTAAATAAATAAATTAAATATAATATTAATTGTGCAAGTCATTTACAATATATAAATAAATATTTGTAAATAAATAAACAAAATTATATTAAATATGTAAGTCACCTACACCACCCCCCACCAGAGACCGTCAAGGGCGATAAAAATCTGTAAATTTGACACGCCGCCCAGAACGAGTAGTACGATCTTTTTGGATTTCTGGTAGGGATTCTTGTTCCTGGTCTGCTAATATGAAAGCCGGTTTCAATCGGTCTATGGAGACCGTAACTTCTTTATTTTTATGTAAAATTTTGAAAAATTTTTCCCCCCTTATTATCACCTTATGCGGACCAGAATAAGCGGGTTGAAGTGAACCACGTGATGCGTCTTCACGTAGGAAGACGTGATCACTAGTATCTAGTTCTTTATGAACAAAACATTTTGGGGTACTATGATGTGAAGTGGGTACTGGACGTAAATGTTCAGCTATTTTTCTCAGGCGGGCGGAAAATTCAGAAATGTCTGTGGTTCCGGGTACGTTGGCTTCAAAAAATTCACCGGGAAGTCTCAAAGGCTCACCGTATACTAACTCTGCAGACGATGCCTGTAGATCCCCTTTAAAGGCGGTTCTGACGCCGAGCAGGACCCATGGCAGAGATTCTGTCCACTGATTATTAGCATGACATACTATTGCCGCTTTAAGTTGTCTGTGGAAGCGTTCCACGAGACCGTTGCATTGTGGATGGTAAGCTGTTGTCCGTTTATGTTCAAAACCGGTCAATTTAGATAGGCTTTCGAACAGAGCCGATTCAAACTGTCGCCCACGGTCAGTTGTAATGACTGTAGGACAACCAAAACGGGCAATCCAGGACGACAGCAAGGCTTTGGCAACGGTCTCGGCAGTAATGTCTTCTATCGGTACTGCTTCTGGCCATCGTGTAAAACGATCTACAGCAGTTAGACAATACCGATAGCCTTGCGAGATTGGGAGTGGACCCACCAGATCTATATGAATCTGTGTGAAACGCGCACGTGGTAAGTTGAATTTACCAGGAGGGGCTGTTATGTGCCGATTAATTTTTGCACGCTGACACGAAATGCAGGCGCGTGCCCAGTCCCTACAATCTTTTCTAACTCCCGGCCAGACAAACCGTTCCGCGACTAATTTGGCGGTAGCGTCTGCGCCTGGGTGGCTTAAGGAATGCAAGCTATCGAAAACTTGCTTCCGAAAAATCTTTGTAACAAAAGGCCTGGAGGTCGCTGTACTGACGTCGCAATACAAAGGTAAGTGACTTCCAGGTACTGTTAGTTTTTCGAAATGCAAAGATGAACCTTCCTTGATTAGTTTTGCTAACTCGGGGTCCGAGACTTGACTTTCAGCTAACTGTTCTAGGCTTACAGGTGCGCTCAGCTCATCAATGCGTGACAAAGTGTCGGCCACGACATTGTCCTTACCAGATATGTGACGAATATCGGTGGTAAACTGAGATATAAAATCTAGATGTCTATACTGCCTAGGCGAGCAGTTTGTCTTCCTTTCATGGAATGCAAAACTAATCGGCTTGTGGTCAGTATACACAATGAAATGCCTAGCTTCGAGCATGTGTCGGAAATATTTAATAGCCTCGTATATTGCAAGCAGTTCTCTGTCGTAGGGTGAATATTTTTCTTGTGAAGGACTTAGCTTCCGAGAGAAGAAAGCTAAAGGCTCCCATAACCCATTTGTAAGCTGTTGTAAAACAGCACCCAACGCCTTATCAGATGCATCTGTCACCAGTGCAAGTTTAGCAGTGCAGTCTGGATGTGCTAATAATGCAGCGTTGGATAGTTCATCCTTGCAAGCTTCGAAAGCTGCTAGAGTATCAGCTGTTAGACTAATTGGATGTGATCCTTTAACCGCACCAGTCAGTAAAGCATTTAGAGGGGCTTGGGTTTTAGCAGCTTGAGGAAGAAATCTCCTGTAAAAATTGAGCATACCCAAAAATCTCCTCAACTGACGTACATTAGTGGGAGCAGGAAAGTCTTTAATTGCTTGCACTTTAGAGTCTAATGGTCTGGTGCCGCGCTCCGAGATACTGTAGCCTAGAAAGGTTACCTCTTGGGCCCCGAAGACACATTTAGACGTGTTTAAAAGCATCCCATAATCTTTCAGCCTGGCAAAGACCATACGAAGATGTTCTTCGTGCTGCGCTTCGCTCCTAGAAAAGATTAAGAAGTCGTCAAGATAACAATAGACGAAATCAAGTCCCCTGGTCATCTCGTCCACAAACCTTTGAAAGGTTTGACCAGCATTCCTAAGACCAAAGGTCATAAATGGGAACTCGAATAACCCAAATGGTGTTGTTATCGCCGTTTTCGGTATATCTTGCGGGCTGACAGGTATCTGATTATAGGCCTTGACGAGATCTAGCGTGCTAAAAAATTTGCAGCCTGAAATGCTATGGGAAAAGTCATGAATGTGCCTAATTGGATATCTGTCAGGCACGGTACGGGCGTTAAGCATTCTATAGTCCCCGCATGGACGCCAACCGTTGTCCTTCTTTGGCGCTAAATGAAGAGGCGACGACCAAGGGCTCTCCGAAGGTCGGGCTGTGCCGCTATTAATCATCGACTGGAACTCCTGTCGAGCAATTTTAAGTTTATCGGGTGCTAAACGACGGGGTGAGCTAGCTACTGGAGGACCTGGGGTCGTGCGAATATGGTGAACAGTGTTATGTGGTGTGGCGTGATGTGTACCAGCTGGTCTAGTGATTTCCGGAAACTCGTTAAGAATTTTGTGATACTGAGAATCACCAGTCAAGACTTTCACAGAGTGGACATCTTTACAATTTGCAAAAGTAGCTACTGAAGCTATAGATGTAGTGTTATCTATAAGTTTTTTATTGCGACAATCAACTATTAGATTATAAAATTTTAAAAAATCTACACCAATAATAGGTTTTGTTACATCAGCAACAACAAAGCGCCAGCTGTAATCTCTATGCATGCCAAGATTTAAATTTAAATGTACATAACCATAAGTAAATATGTTTGAGCCATTGGCTGCACACAACTCAAAATTTGTC